GGCAACCCTTTATTTTCACGACTGTAAGGCTTTCATAATATGATAATCCATTTGTAAACTTTATATCCACATAGTTATAATATATATATATATATGCACACATACATATATACATATATATGTATGTATGTATGTATGTGCTAGCCCCCTCCATGTACCCACGCTTTGTGCTTGAATCTGTTTGCGCTTGAATGTATGAATACATATATGTATGTATATATATATACACACACCCGTGAGTGCACATATACAAGTGTACATCTCTGCGGAATCCCAAGCTGGCCAGGTATCTGGCAAGGGATGCCTTTGACCGCGTGATGGTGACGGTGCACGGAAACTGGGCTCCTTAGGAGATGCGGGCAGTTGCGCAAAGCCCCCGGCACACATGTAAAACCAGAAGCCAGAGAATTGGTTACCCTTGCAGCATCAGTAACCCCAAGGGTCCAGAGGACCCGACAATCAGGTACTTAGCTATAGGTTTCGGATGGTAGTTATGCAGGTTACTATTTGGGAGAGTATATGATTATTAGGTACTTGGACCCTTACAGAAAGCCTCGTAGTAGCCTTATAGCAACCCTTGAATTAAAGAATCCCTCATAGCAACGAATCATTCGTTGCTCTTCACTGTGTAGGTTTCAGCAAGCACAACTATCCTGACCAAGTCAACGGCCCAGGCTTGTGGGAATCGTGCACTCTCTTTTGTTCAGAGTTTGTAGGGCTTAGGGTTTGGGGTCTTGCTAGAGCATCAGCAACTGCGCAGTGGCAATGGCACCCTGCGCTTGTGAGGCATTATCGGAGTTGCAACAGACAGTACATGACAGTAATACGTGTAAGAAGCTGTTTAGATTTCAGGACAGTCCACCTACCAGAGCATCCTTGACGGCATTGATCCTCCGCGGCTGATGGCGGAATCTTGACTATAATCGCATTCTTTATAAGGTAAGTATTCAGAGCCTGCGGCAGTCGTGCTAAGCCAGACATTCACACATTTACTATTATGCGTATCATTCTTCTTATGTTTTGCTATTATTCTTATTAATATGCTTATTCTTATTATTATGATTGTTATTATCATTTTCATTTTTAATATTTTGTACTACTACTACTACTACTACTACTACTAGTACTAGTACTAGTACTACTACTACTACTACTACTGTACTAGTCTTAGTCTTCTTCTTCTTATTGTTTTTTTTTGTTGTTGTTGTTCCTATTATTATTATTATTAGTGCTACCTTTATTTATGTATAGATATACACACATACTAATATATATATATACACATACATACATACATACATACATACATACATACATACATACATACATACATATATATATATATAGAAAATATTAATTAATATATACTGTTATGTGTTGTTCAAGAATACTAATGTGTGTTATCATGTTTTGTTATATGTATAGTGTATATGTCGTTACCTATTTTTTGTATGACATAGATGTTATCATATACTTATAAATATATATATATATATACACACATGCATATATATATATATGTGTGTATATATATGTAGACAGAAATAGAGGTTTTATCATGCTTTATTTTATATTGCTATATGTTATTACATAATTTGTGAAGACCAACTGTGCATATGTTTTGCGAAGACCGCCGGCGTGCTCTTCTGTATGTTCTTCGGCCGGCTCCTCGCATTCGCATTCACCCATCATTGATGCGGTTCTGAACACAGCCTCTACCAAAACAGCGATCCGACACAGCAGCGGTTTGTCGCTCTGGACTTCGCATGCACTGGCACTGGCTTTTCGAAGTCTCGCATGTGCGGGGTTTTGGGTTTGGGAAACGCTGAAAAGTAGACCCCAAGAAAGCTCTGTGAGGAAAGCCCCCATACATCCCTTAAGAAAAGGCCTGGAGGCTTGCGACCTATAGCCCATGTAGTGCAGAAGCCGGCAACATCGTCTCAGGCTCGGCGCGAGATGCTGTCCTTCCTACCTTCCGGGCCTCTCCGCGTGCTGGAGGCGCGTCTCATAAGGTCTTGTAGTAGGACTTATCTAGTGTTACCGGTTGTTCATGCTTCTTAGGGTTGTAGACTTCGAACCAGGGATCGTTGGGTTCAACAAGCATTAAACAAGCAAAGCTCGATGACCTCAACCACAGCCGCATTGAAGTCGAGGGCCATCCGAACCCAAGAGACTCCACCCTCCCCCCAAAATGAAGGGATGGCCTAGGAGTCTGAATACTTGGTGGTGATACTTCGTAAAGGCCCTCGTGAGTAGGAATGGAGATTAGTGGCCTCTGAGATTTTGGCCTGAGCTTCGCAATGTACAAGCCCAAAATATTGTTCAAATTAGTCCTTGAGGTGTCCCATTACATTTCTTCTATATGGGGTACCCCAAAGTCCTGTTCGAATTATCAGAGAGTTGAGAGGGGCCCTACTGAGGCGATCCAGTTGCTCCTTAGGCCCTGTTCGGTTTCCAGAAACAAACGGGGGCCCCCTCTGAACCCTGTGATTCTAAGCGTACCAACGTAGACTTGTCGTCAACAAACCATGACCTTAAACCTTTAAACGCAACAGGAACCCACACCCAAGCGTTTGATCTCAAAGAACAACCGCGACCTAAGCCATCAACGGTAAAACCCAGACCTCAACCATGAGGGCCCGACATCGCATTGTTGCACTGTTTTGGGTTCCCGGCTCAGATCGGCAAGCCCTGGACCAGGACCTCGTACCGCAGTTACTGTAGAGGCTTAGCATATAATATAACTGTAAGACATATCCAAAGCAGGTTTCGGGTCATTTTCTGGCATCCTGATACAGAGACGAGGCAGTGCTTAACGACGAGTATCTCATAACTCCGTATACTATAGATATATATATATATACGCTTCTGGCATATACCGATATGCACTTACGCATGCATATATACGATCCCGGTTCTCGGTTCGCCGACGCCCGCCGGATGGCATCCCCCACCATCCCGAATCCCTGCGACTGCGTGCTCTTCTCCTTCCCTAACCTTAAACATGCAAGCCTTAAGCCCTAAACCTCCAAACCCTAACCTTTCAATGCAAACCTGAAGTGTACCCACAGGCCCCTAAGTAGTTCCTTTTTATGCTTCATAACTAGAATCCTATAACGTAATCCCAAAAAAAGGAACTGCTAAGGAGCCTATGGGTAAAGCCCATATATAAACCCTAAACCCTAAACCTGCCAAGCCCTAACCTTCAATGCAAACCCTTAAGTGACACCCTAACCTTTTTAATGCAAGCCTTTAAGTGTAGGTTGGTGTTGGTGTGGAAACCTGGGCCTCCAATCTGCCGCGGCTTGGCAGAGTTTGGCCTTCCAACAGGCGATTTTAGAGTCCAGGGCTTTACCCTAAACCCTAAACCCTTTAGGGCTTAGGGGTTTAGGGTTTATGGTGAAGGGCTTTACCCGAAACCCTAAACCCTTCAGGGCTTAGGGGTTTAGGGTGTAGGGCGATGGCAATGGCGGGGAAGGCTTTTCTCCGACATCTGGACCTGAAAAAACTATTGAAATTTTTTTTCCAGGCCCTGAATCATTTGGGGTTTAGCGTTTAGGTCAGCGGAAAATGTGAGTTTCTTTGTATTCTCCATGCGGCCCGCCACGCCGGCTTCCCACAAACTCTGGAAGCCCAGCCACGGGCCCGGAGCATGGTGGCGCAAGGGCCCTAAACCCTAAATCTTGAATCACTCAGCCACGACACCTTACGAGTTCTAGGCTTCAGGGCGTTAAAGACTTGGGATTAGGGGTTTCACTGTGCTGCCTTTATAATTTTCACATTGAAACCAGTCTTCATGTTGCTGAGAATAGCTGTAACATTCCCCCGACCGGCCGTTTTACAAGACTGATGCATCTAGGGTTTTACATCAGGGCCTTGGTAGATCATTGCTGCTTGCTGCGAACATATTCCTTTCGTGTTTGTTGCTGCAGTCTTCTTCTGATTTATCTTACACGCCTTTTCTAAACCCTAAAGCCTAAACCCTGAAAGCCTTTGAAACTCATGGCCACAGAGCAAGGAACCTAGTTAAGTCGCATTGCGCAGATAGTGCATAAAACACACATCGATGGATCCTTAATCCGGCTAAAGGCTAAAGAAATGTTGCGTAAACAACGAAGGACATATCCTCAGCTTATTTGGAAGCAACGAAGGGGAGACACCGTCACTTACAGAAGGATCCTTCATCTGGATTGAGGTATGCATTTTACTTCAGCCTGATCAATGAAGCATTGAACGGTCAATTACGGGGCATCCTTCACATGCGTTGAGGTATGTTGTGATTGGGGCTGCATTGAGTTATATCGCTGAAATATTGAAGAGGCTACTGTAAACCCTAAACCCCTAAACCCTAAGCGCTAAAACACTAAGCCTGAAACCCTAAAACCCTAAACCCTGTCTTAACTGACAGGCGTATGGGAGTGTAGGGGCAGCTTCCTTACACACAAAACAAAACATTCTGAACTAGCACCGGCAAATACCTACCGTCTCCATGGTAGTTCCTGTTTTTGGTTTAACCAGTTTTGCATTCAGGATCCTAGAAGGTAACCCCAAAAAGGAACTACAATAGAACCTACAGGTACTCTTGTGTTTCCAAGACCCTGCATCAAGAAATTGAAATCCTAAATCCCTAGCCGTTACACATAGGCTCCTTAGTAGTTCCTTTTTTTGGTTCATCTTTAGAATCCTATAAGGTAGTCCCAAAAAGGAACTACGAAGGAGCCTATGGGTAAACCCTAAGCCCCGAAACCTTAGACCCTCAAACCCGAACTCCGGAAGCCATAAACTCAACACCTTGAGACCCTACCTTTAGGGTTTAGGGTTTAGGGTTTACGGCCCTGAAACCTTACACCCTAAATGTTAAACCCCTAGCCTCTGAAACCGCAAGACCCTTGAGCCTTTGTATCCTTTGTAGATTCCTGCTAGGGCCCATTGGCAAATCCTACCCCGAGCCCCCAAACACCTAAACCTTCAACCCTGAAACCCTCATATAAACCGACGAGGCTTTATCCACCCGGAGTTTCACTCGTCGGTTTGGATCCGGAGGCTTCATTCCGAACGTTTGCCGCCATAACTCGGGCTGCGCAGTGTTGGATGTTGGTGTCGCTTGAGGTTTTGGCTTTGGTGTCCTATCTTGGGGTCGGAGCGATTAGCAATGCTATTCTCGTGAAGTCCCCATGGAAATAAAGCATCATACTGTGGATGATATAAATCCTGCATTCCCTTTAAGGACCCTAAACTACGGGAATTATGGTATATTCCTTATTTTGGGTATTGCAGGATGTATATCATCAACCGTATACCCCACAGCCCTGTGCGGGCTTTGGGTTTGGGGTGTAGACTCCGCACCTTCTGGGGTTTTGGAGTCTTTCGACGCAACGGCTGCAGGGTGACAGGGTTTATTCGGGAGTTTGAGATGAAACTCTAAACCCTAAACCCCGAACCAAAGACTAAGGGTGCAAAGGACCGAAGAATTCGGTACCTGGCTGAGGGCAGTTCAGTAGCCTTGCAGCTTAGTGTTCCCTAACCCCTCAGGTACCTACTATATAGGGTGCTAGAGGCCCTAGGGCCCTATACAGTAGGTACCTGGAGGGTTAGGGATTTAGTCGTGGGACACCTAGGGGAATGTAGAAGCCTAAAGCAGGAGACAGGAGGATCCTCAGGCCCCTGAAGAAGGCAATAAAGAGGGGCCTTTAATAAGAATTACCAATAATGTGTTTTTTTTGGGGGGGGCTTCCTTATTAAACGCATAGTATAGTATAATGGGCCCCAAAACCCTATATTCTAATTGTTCATGGCCCAAATTAACCCCCAACTTTAAACCCTCCACATATTGTCGCGCAGTCAGAAAGGTAGCAACCTCAGCAACCACCGGGCTTATTTCAGGAAGAGAGTGAGAAGGGCATCGTACGTGGCTTCCGTTGTTTTGCACATTGAGGTTGTGCATATGGTCTACGATAGAGGCCGGAATAAGTACCAAGGTTGTTCCTGTGGTTCCTTATTACAATATTCTACAAAGGAGCCCAACACCGTATGCGAATTGTTATGGCCCCTGTATTTTAGAACTTCACCCCTGTATTATAGAACTTCACGGTAACCCCTATGTCAGACTCCTTCAAAGGAACCCTACTCTAATTGTTAAGGCCGTTAAGGCCCCTACATTAGATGCTCTCGTGGCTGCTTAGCTGGTCGTCTTCCCCATGCGACTTTAAGTACCGGTGCAGCATGGTGAACCCTACCCTGTCAGCATGGTACGCGCATGTATTCTCGTACTGTATGTAGCATGGCGGGTTTCCAGGGCACTCATACCGCGATGCAGAACGAGACATGCATCCACTCAGACCTCCAGACAAGGAGAGCAAACGAGAGAAAACAACTGAGAGAGAAGCAGAGAGTAGTTCGTGACGCTGAGATTTCCGTGCGGCTCCAGAGCTGAATTTTTCCTGTGCTTAAGACTGTTGCCTGGCATCGAGGTGTTGACGCCCTTGGCCCTGAAAACTTGTGCCGGGCCTACCATGCCAATCGCCCGTTAAATTCCTCGAAATCTGTTTCGGTAGCTGCAACATCTTTTACTGGTCGACGGTATTTACAGTCCCTGCACACGAATCGAAGCAAAAGCCGATTTTCTTTAGGCATGATTGCACTGCCACGAGGTCGGGTTGGGACTCAATCTCAGTTGCCCTGGTTCTGTTGCCCAATCCCAACTAGAGTGAAGATTTCTTACCTCATATATATACATACATATATATATATATATACACTGTAGGGGGTCTCAAGGCTGCACCGCACTCCATACATCTTCGGTCCTTTCACATCGCCGCAGGTGTCCGCATACGCTACGTGGCCAAAGAAGCCTCGAGGCTTGCCGGTTGTTCTGTTCCGATGCCTGGCTGGCTGTTCAGGGAAAGCCTTAAGCCCTAAACCCCTAAACTCCAAACCCCTAAACCCTTAAACCCCTAACCGCCAAAACAGGAGCCTTTCATCCAATTATTGCCAAGGGGCTCGTGAGTGCTTCGGGCTTTTGGCATCGGTGTCTTTGCAAGCAGGCCGACTGTAAGCTACCAGGTTCGCCCGCTTCTTCGGGGTTTAGGTGTCTAGGGTTTAGGGCTTGGGGATCCGGAAAGTGCAATTAACAATAATGGCAGTATAGGTGAGTCAATGGTCTGGTTACAGCTTGCCATGGTGAAAGATAACATCCTGAGTAGCCTTACTTGCCACCATAGCGGCTGAAGTGTCGACAGTATCCCGACCATAAAAATGACCGAAACGTTACATGTCTAAACCGCCTCGAAACCACTCATAAGCTAGCCATCGAGCCTTCAATCTGTACTCCCCTTCTAAAGTTTAAAATCCCCGAATACTAAACCGAGCTTTCTGCAGGTCGAGGGTTTCGGGTTTTGGGGCTTTCGGTTATATAGGCTTCAGGGATTTGTTTTGTTTTCGGATACAGCAGGTCATGCAGGAAACGGAACTGCACTGAGCGCATCACCCTGTGGGCCCCGCACCTCAGAAATCTAGGCAGAAGCCCTCACCAACCCAAAGCTCGTAAATCCTGAACCCGACATCCGCAAACCCTTAAACACTCAACCTTTGAACCCTAAACTCCTAATCCCTAAACCTGGCGGAGGGCTGGACTTTGAAGCCGTCCGCGGTTGGGCGGAGGCTGGCAGGGGAGTTGTTCCTACAGTAACCAACATGAGCCACGGTTCAGGGTTTAGGGTAACAAACATGGGAACACAGGTTTGTATAGCTTGGGCTTTTAGGGGTTAGGGGTGTAGGGCTTGGTGTTTAGTAGGCTGTAGGGTTTCTGCAGTAGGAATTCCAGTTTGGGGAAGTATCCCCCGTAAAGGAACCAACCCTCATAGATCCCGTATGGGTTCATAGCCCCCATAAAGGGACCCTACTGTACAACCTCATAGTGCCTGTTTAAAGGTACCCCATAATAGAATCCTTGAGTGGAACCCTGTAGTACCCCTTATAATAGGTACTTTGTTTCATGGGCCCTCTAAGCCCCAGAAGCCCTAAACCCTAAATCCCTGAACCCCTAAACCCTAAGCAGCGGAGGGGGGAGTATCGAGACTTTGGAGGCTTTGCCCTTCGCCGACAACAGTTTTGATGCGGTGGTGCCTTGGCGGTTTACGGTTTAGGGTCTATGGTTTAGGGTTCAGGGTCGAGGGTTTAGGGTTCACGGTCTAGGGTTCACGGTATAGAGTTTAGGGTTAAGGGTTTAGGGTTTAGGATCTATAGGTTCTAGGGTCTAGGGTTCAGGGTCTAGGAGGGTTTAGGGATTGCATTCGACACGCTTCAGAAAGGCTGAACCCTGGAGTTTTGAGTAAGCCCATACAGGGCTTCCTAGGGATACTGTTATCGGTAGATGCAAACTCGCAGCGTCAGGCTCAAGATAATATAGAAGCCCAAATAATTACCAACACTATTCCTTAAGGTTGCTCATTTATGAGATTATAGTATAGTATACCTCAACAAACCATTCTATTTATTAAGGCGCCTACAGTACTTGCAAAATTCATCTCTATTTCACATCGTCACGGCCCCCGTTGAATGTCGATGGTTGCTCGCCTCTCCTTAAGCGGATCCTTGTGGACATGTTCAGGCTTCGGCCTCCTCTGGGTTCTCAAGATCTGTCGATGCTTTGTCTATAACGGTTTAGGGCTTAGGACCCTAAACCCTAAACCCTAGCTAGGCCTGGTAGGACCATAGAAGTGAAAGCATGCGTAGAGTTCAATCCCAAGAACTAAGAAGCACGGATTCCGCTGCAACATCACAGACAACATGAACCATGGGTACGTAAAGCCTAGATTCTCACACCCTTAAACCCCCACCTAAACCCTACCTTAGCTTAACCTACCACAACCTATTCGATGTAGGCTTTCACCAAAAAAATTAATCTTGAATTCGTAGGGATCGTACAAAAAGGTGCAGTTCTAGATCCGAGGTCGCCTCACTTGTGCTTTGCAGCGTCAGGGAGCCAGACACGGCACTGAGAGACACTTGGACCATCAGTGGACTGCGGGTTTGATCTCAACTTTTGAGCTTGATTTCGGCCTGACCTCCGAACCTCAGAACCTCCCCGCCTCGCCCCCCCGCCCCCACAGTGCCGACCCGAAACGGTGGAACCCGAACCTCCAAGCCCGGTGACCCTAACAGTAGCCCTTATGGTCGGCAGCGGGCGCATAGGGCACTGTATTACCTTCCTGCGTTTTCTTGCGTTTGCGGACATTTCGGATGATTCCGTAAATTTGGGCATGGTGGGGTGTAGGGGTTGGTCGGGGGATATATAATGTCGTTCGTTCCTTTGGCGATCATTCTGTCCTTTTGCACAACATACTGCAGAAGGATGTTTGATGTGATGCACTTTCACAAACGTTCATGCCTTGTGCGAGCATGCTCAAATTACTGGTATGTACGGCGTTTCGGCACTTTGCACAACATACTGCAGAAGGATGTTTTACCCGTCCGGCAGATAAGATGCAGTGTTACGAGTGTTGATGCCGATTGTGAGCATGCCCATCACACAGTTACTTATAGCGTAACATAATGGACAACGTTATGGTGATGCGCGATGATAATGATGATGGTGATGGTGATGATGTTGATGATGATGATGATGATGGTGATGGCCACTACAAACAACCATGGCTGATTGAAATCTTGCACAACTTATAACAGTTTCCGGCAGGGGATACATCCCTGCTATTCGTGAATGTGTTTGTTTCTGAGAATCCCGCTGAAGCCTCGGTTTCCTACTATCCCTTGCAGCAGGTCGGGCTGATAAGAAAACCCCTTTCAACTCCGGATCCCACGTCCTTAACTAGGATTTGGGATTAGGGGGGAACTCGTGGGGATATAGACCCTATCATTAAGGTCCCTTTTAAGAGAGCCAGAAGTAGGGTCAAGAAGGGTGTCCCTAATACTACCTAGGATTAACAAAGACGGTTTAGGGTTTAGGGAATACCACCGTTATGGAATTAATAACTAGGTGCCTCAAAACCATTATAAGGATTGGTCTTTTGGTGCCTAATTCCATGTCATGCAGCGTTGTTTCCACCAGAAGTTTTGGCCACAGGCCCGGAACCCCCCGAAATCCAGAAACCAAAACCCCTAAGCCCTGCGCCCCGAAACCCGCCTTTCTGGTGCCCAAACCATTGGCCCAAAGATGGGTTGATCGACCAGGAAATCGCGCGAGTATTGAAACCAGGAGGCAACATCGGAGATTCGATCCCGCCGGGCCTGGATATGTTACATGTACAGTTCTACGTTGTCATTTTTATGATTATGATTGTTTATGATTAGATATTATGTCTTATTTGTCATTCGTATTATGATACTGACTAATCGTAGCGGTAGTAACAGTAGCAGCAGCAAGTACCAGGTGCTGTGTGGTGGTGGTGGTGGTGGTGGTGGTGGTGGTCGTGGTGGTGGTGGTGGTGGTGGTGCCCAAGCGGGAGTACGAGTACGACTATTGTTACCATGACTACTACTGTTGCGAGCAGTGTGCGACTATTGTTACCATGACTACTTTTTGCGAGTAGTGTTCTTACGAAGTTATCATTGCTTTTTCGATTCATCTGATGATGATGGCTATTCTTTCTGTGATTCTGAGTATCTTTTTAGTTACCACTATAATCTGTTGTACGCATCATCACTTTCATTGCAATTGCAATCATTATTACTGTTATTCTTGTTATTATTCTTGTGATAAGAACCGTTGTTATTATCATTCCCTCTGTTATTGTTACCTGATATTGTTGATAGTCTTCTGTTCTTATTTTGTTTTTGGAGATGAGTGTCTGTTAGTTTTATTGCATTTATTGTTATTGTGAATTGTTCTACCATGACCATTATTTTAGTGTTCGTCATTGCCACGGTGATTCATGTTTCATGATAATGATGAGGGTGAGGCGATGATGCTGATGATGATGATGATGATGAATAATGACTATGGTCAAGCATGGTTCCCTAAGGGTCCAAGTGCCCAAATAGTAGGGTTTCAAGGTCCGAAAAACCATTCAGTTTATGGATTTGGGGACCTCAAACCTTACTATTTGGGCACTCGGACCCTCTGGGGTTGATATTGAACCTATCGCCAAGACAGAGAAGCCTCAGGTTATCTTGAACAATCAGATCATTATCGCGATGCAAAGATTGTGGGGAGGCACATTCTCTAAGCCCGGGGTTCGAAGGCCGAAGCCAAGGCCTTACGTACATCAACCAGCTTTGACAAGTGCACAAGCACCAAAGTTCGGATAGTTCCATTTACTTCCCTTGGTCACTCCAGCTAGATTGCTGCCGAAAGTCCGAAGCATAAACCCTGAACCCAAGCTTAAGTCGCAATCCCTGGAACACTCAATCCCGACACCTACCAGACTTTCTGAAGAGTCTGTCCGCCGATAATGCGTCACCCAGGATGCTGAATCCCTCGCAGGTCCACGCTCCCAAACTGTCCCTATTTAGCGCCTTACTTCCTTCTTACCGCGACTACTGCAACCCACGGTTCAGGCCACCATCCACTGTCAGCCACTAAAATAGAGTCCGGCTTGTTTAGGTTGGAATTGCATCTTCAAACCCCCCGCAACCCTAAACCAGCTTCGCAGCCCACCTCCGGGAACCCGACCTCCAGCTGTGCTCCACACACCCCAATACCCTATACTTCTGTGAAGCCAGATTGCAAGCCTAAGAAACTCCATTACGGCCCTGTGAATCCCATCGAAACTCTTTCAAACTCTTATAACTCCCTGTAAACCCACCTGTCAGAGGTCGCTACCTCTTCCTGGAGCACATCCGTGCACCGACCGGCTCGGCACTGCGATGGCAACAGGAGGCAGG